CTTCTGCGCGCCGGTCCTGGCGGGGCCCAGAGAACCGCCGCTCCGAGGTGCGTGTCGGGGGGTGCGGGGTGCATCCGCTGGTGCGGGGCGCGGGGACCGGACCTGCCCGGCTGCGCCCAACTTGCGGGCCGCTCCCCCGGGGCTCCCGCTCCTTTGTACGCGCGGGCTCGCGTCTTCGCGGGTGAGGACCACGGTCGGGGAGCTACCCAGCAGCGCCGGTACATTCATTTCAGCCTGGTCGCAGAACCCAGAGAATCAATTTCGGCTCATCCTCCCGAGAGCGAGAGCCGAGGACAACTTGGCGTCACCCTTCGGGGAGACGTTTGTCGTCATTGAGCGGGTTCGGGTCCATTAATTCAGCCCCGGCCAACGCCAGCACGGGTGAACCGACAGCAGGTGCGCCTTTAGGAATTGGGGCTCCGCGGTACCTGATTTTGGTCAAAACAGGTCTTAGGCGCTTTAGATTCTGCTTAGAGTTGACTTGGTCTGGACAGGGATGGCTTTAAGAAAGAAGAATAAACAGCGAGAGTATTAGGCAAAACGAAGAACACCCCCAAACCCAAGTCATTCACAGAAAACGGGGCATCTTGGTTATTCTCATTGGTTTTCCCAGTAACTTCAAAATAGTCCCAGAAATGTTCCTTTTGTCTGCGGTTTCACTTCTAAACTTTAACACTAGATGGCTTTCTTATGACAGGCATTTAGTCCACTGCCCGCTTGAGTTTCCTGCGTCTGCAGTCTAGGCTAGGATTTATCTATTTATTTAACGTCTTACAAATTGGAATGAAAGGGAAGAAAGTGTCCCAAACTGCTGCTTTGTTTGAAATATAGTACTCCCCGTAAGGCTTAAACCAGTTATTTTTGCAAATACGGAAAAGTGGGCTTTGATGTCTACCACCTAAAGGTGACTGTGAGCCAGCTGCTCCTTACGCTACGCTCTGCGTCGTGTTTTGGCTTATTTGGAGAATGTAGAGTCCTAGGGTGGGTTTGGTGATTACACTTGCGGAGATTTATACGTGTGCTGTTCACCGCTGCCTGTGTTTCGTTTGGAGGAACAGGCGGAATTGGGATCTGTGGTGGGAAAGAACAGTCTATCTTGAGTTTGGGGCTCATGCAGAGCCGGTTATGCCTAAGGGTTGACCAGCAGCATTTGAGGAAGATCTGTAGTCCAGTGCGTCTGCCTGAGTCATACTGAGGATTGTGTCAGGGACGTCTGCATTTCCTTCTCCCGGATGAGATCTGGTTCTTCTTTTCTGAGCACAGCCCTTTGATGACTCCTGCACTTGCCGCTAGTTAACGCAGCCAGCAGATTTTTGCATTCTGGCTTAAGTGTTTTTTTTTTTTAATTATTATTATTTGGGAATTAAACCTACAGGCTTGGGTATGCCAGACAAGCACTCTACCATTGAGCTACATTCCCAGCCCCCACTTATTATTATCTCAGAATAGTCACCCATTTATTTATTATTATTTTGGAAGAGTCTCACTAAGCTGCCTAGGCTGACCTCACACGATAGCTCAAACAGGCTTTGAACTTGCCGTCCTCCCGCCTCATGAATGGCTTGAATGACAGATGTGCCCTGCCCCACCCCACTTCTTGTTCAGTACTTTTACTCTGCAAGCAACCTGACAGCTAGCCCCAAGTCTTGCCTAGATAGGCAGGCTTGTTAGCTGAAGAAATTTGAATTTGGCTTCATCGTTGTCATTTCTTGTGTGTCTTGCTTGGCTTAGACTATGACATGTTAAATTTGTATGTTCTAAATTAGAATGTATTCTTAAATAGCGGAAGTGGGGGAACCCCCGACTGAGTAGACATCTGGGAAGCGGGGAACAGAATGAAACAGGAACGGCTTTTCTCACTACCCACGTGCTACCTATAGATGGGGTGAGGTGAACTTGCATAAGAACCCCGGGAGATGTTTGCTCCAGAGGATGAAGAGAGCAGCAGAGGATCGGTTAAGGTGTGGAGGTGGAGCTTCCGCTTGGGAGTACAGGCCTGGGAACTGCACTGTCTGGCTTGAGTGTGTATTTTTCAGAACATGATTTTGATTTTGATATTGTATAATGTTAGGCATTCGTAAAGAGCCCCCCCCCCCCCCGTAACTTTTAGCCTCATGAGTGGGATTATCATCTTGGTCAAAGCTACAGAATATATATATTTGGAAGGGGCATCCAGCACCCCCCTCCCACCCCCACCCCACTGGAAGTGCTCCTTGATACCTTTCTGTAACTTGGCGAATCTTCCTCACCTGAGACAAAAGGGACAGTTGATTAGATACTTAAAAATCTATGTCTGAAACTGAGAAAGCGTTAGTACAAATGGCAATGATCTAGTAATTGAAACTGGCTTGAAAGTGCTGTGCATGGGCCTCACTCAGCACTAGCCTCGGAATTGTGCTTCCGTTTACATGGATCTGCCCCTCACCGCTTGCCCAGCAGTAGTTGTTAAACCCAGCTTTGGGAAGCCTTGAATTGTCTCTGAACTTCTGATCTCCATGTGGGGGTAGTTTCAGATTACAAGTCTTTACAAAGACGCAATGAGTTCTAAGAACGCTTGGACTATGCTTGTTAACTTGAATGAAATAGGAAGTCAAGCCCTAAAGAATACAGAAGAGCCGTGGTCTAGATTTTCTTCTTGTACCTTTGTAGGCCTTTCCTTTTTGGGTGAGTAGGAAGAAGGGTGGGAACCTCGGGGGGGGGGGGGTGTTCTCTGTAGTTCATAGGAGAATTTGGATAAAGTACAGCACAGTTCCTTTTGACTCCAAAACTATAAGTTTCTTTCCCTCTCTCTTTTTTTTTTCATTTTTTTACTTTTTAGTGTGTATGTGTATGCATGACATAGTGTTCGGATGGAGGTTAGAGGACATCTTCTAGAAGACCATTCTCTTCTGTCACATGGGTTCCTGGGCTTGAACTCAGGCTTGGCGGCATGTGCCATCTTGCCAGCCCCTCTTGTTTCTTTATTGTTTAAGATATATGTATTAGAGCAATAAAAACGTCTGTCTGGCCAGGAGGGTTTATATTTCCCATGATTATGAGTCTTGCTAGATTCCATGTAGTGTAAGTTTGTGTACAGTGAACCTCCTTATATGGATTTATAGTTACTAGGTTTACCTTTGAAATCAGTGACTCAGAAATTGCTTTTCTCTGCCAATTGCATTTGGCTTTGACCCTTTTTAAGGAGAGGTAACCATGCAATTGGAATTCAAATGCCTCAGGACTTCAAGGGTAAAATCGATTGATCGTCTCTGATCCTGACTCATAAACTTTCCCCAAGAGTAGCCAGTGCTCTAGGGGTTCAGAGCTGATGCTGCAGGGCTTTTCTTCCTGCTCGAGTTCTTCTGTGGCGAACTGCTCCTTGAGACCTGTTTCCTGTGCACCATTGTGTAGAAAACTGAGCAATAGAAAGGAAGAAAGGCTGTGAGCTGAGGATAACTGTCATGGCAGCCAGCACCTCTGTGCTGGAAAGGAATTAAGGGTTATGCCCCCGTGCTTTAGCATTGTTCCCATCCATCCATAAGATTTAGAAAATAAAGCCAAGCCACATGGGGTACACTCTGACGATCCCAGTACCACGAGGCAGAGAGGCAGGAAGATCAGGAGTTCAAAGCCATCCTCAGCCACATAATGAATTCAAGGGCAGCCTGAGCTACATGGGACCCTCTCTCACAAAATAAACACAAAAGGGGCTGGAGAGATGTCTCAGCAGTTAAGACTGTTCTTCTAGAGGACCAGAGTTCAATTCCCAGCACTCACATAGCAGCTCACAACTGTCTGTAACTCCAAGATCTGATGCCCTCACACAGACATACATGCAGGCAAAACACCAGTGCACATAAGGTAAAAATAAATAAATTATTTTTAAAAAGTCAACACAAAAGCAAATTTTAGGGATGTTAGATTTATATGCATTTGACATTGACACCCTAAGTGTATTATTTAAATATGTATAAGTATATTAATTAAATTAAATGTAGCCATTATTAACTATTATCAGTACATTTAATCAAGATAACATAGGACTGGGTGTGGTAGCTCTTACCTGTGATCTCAGCACTAGAGAGGCTGAGGCGGGGGGATTGCTGGGAGTTTGAGGGCAGTCTAGACTACAGAGTTGGGGCCTTGTCTCAAAACAGCGTAAGAGAAGAAGAAAGTAACACCAAAAAAGATGTATATTGGGGCAGGATCCCTCGTGTGTGTGTGTGTGTGTGTGTGTGTGTGAGAGAGAGAGAGAGAGAGAGAGTAACTGAAGAGAACACACACACACACACACACACACACCCCTCTTCCTTTCTCGTAGGATAGTGAGAATGTCACTGAGAGGAGGCCTTAGAGAGCACAGTCCTCTTTACCCTGTTTCTTGGGTGCTCAGATCCTTCCATATCGTCTCTGACTGCACTGAGAACTGAACCTGGGGCCTCGCACAAACCAGGCCAGTCTCCTACTGAGCTACGTCCCCAGCCAGCCTCCATATGACTTCCAAAGGCGATCTTCCAGAAGTCACCCAGCAGACTCTGGAAGGGGGTGGAACCTACTTTTTGATGGGTGCAAATCAAATTCAATTAAAAACTGGAAAATGTTTTGTTCTTATTTGCAGTGCTTAAGGTTGAACTCTGGTCTTACACATGCTAGACGTGTGTTCTACCATTGAGTCACAAACCTGCCCTTTTTTATTTTATTCATTCATTCATTCATTCATTCATTCATTTATTCATTTATTTATTTATTCATTTATTTATTCATTCATTCATTCATTCATTTATTTATTTATTTATTTATTTATTTATTTATTTATTTATTTATTTATTTATTTAGAGGCAGGACTAAGTTGCCCAGGGTGTCCTTGAAATCATTCTGTAGCCTAGGTTGGTCTTGAGCTAACTTGGGATCCTTCTGGCTCAGCCTTCTGAGTAGCCAGGAGGACAGAACTGCATCACCAGACCTGACATTAGGAAGTTTCTTGAGCTATGGAATAGCCTTATGCTACATGTTCTTTGGAATTTTACCCTTGTCCAGGGCCTTCAGAACAAATCCTTTAGAGCGGTGTTCTCAACCTTCCAAAGTCTATGACCCTTTAGTACAGTCCCTCGTGTTGTAGTGACCTCCCAACCACAAAATTACTTTGTTGCTATTTCATAGCTGTAGTTTTGCTGCTGTTATGAATTGTAATGTAAATATGTGATGTGCCACACCAGGGGTCGAGACCCACAGTTTGAGAACCGCTGCTCTCGAGCGCCATTTCATCTCTGCTACAAACTTGTCAAAGTGGGGCCCAGTAACCAGAGCGCCTTCTGCCTAATACTGAGCATGCAGAGTAGGACCAGGGTGCTCCGAGGCTGCCTGTCTGTCCTGCTTACCTTCTTTGTGTTCCTGCTGCTGTCGTGGTGTGTCCTGGA